TTGTCAAGCCAGGCCTAAAAAACCTCTAAGGGTGGAGATTCCACCACTTCCCTAGGTAACCCATTCCAGTGCTTCACCACCCTCCTAGTGAAATAGTGTTTCCTAATATCCAACCTAAACCTCTCCCACTGCAACTTGAGACAATTGCTTTTTGTTCTGTCATCTGCCACCACTGAGAACAACCTAGCTCCATCCTCTTTGGAACCCCACTTCAGGTAGCTGAAGGCTGCTATCAAATCCCCCCTCACTCTTCTCTTCTGCAGAATAAATAACCCCAGCTCCCTCAGCCTCTCCTCGTAAATCATGTGCCCCAGCCCCCTAATCATTTTCGTTGCCCTCCGCTGGACTCTCTCCAATTTGTCCACATCCCTTCTGTAGTGGGGGGACCAAAACTGGACGCAATACTCCAGGTGTGGCCTCACCAGTCCCAGATAGAGGGGAATAATCACTTCCCTCGATCTGCTGACAATGCTCCTACTAATGCAGCCCAATATGCCGTTGGCCTTCTTGGCAACAAGGGCACACTGCTGACTCAGATCCAGCTTCTTGCCCACTGTAATTCCCAGGTCCTTTTCCGCAGAACTGCTGCTTAACCAGTTGGTCCTCAGCCTGTAGCAGTTCATGGGATTCTTCCTTCCTAAGTGCAGGACTCTGCACTTGTCCTTGTTGAACATCATCAGATTTCTTTTGGCCCAATCCTCCAATTTGTCTAGGTTACTCTGGACCCTATTCCTACCCTCCAGCGTACCTACCTCTCCCCCCAGTTTAGTGTCATCTGCGAACTTGTTGAGCATGCAATTCATCCCATCATTAATAAAGATGTTGAACAAAACCGGCCCCAGGACCGACCCCTGGGGCACTCCACTTGATACCGGCTGCCAACTAGACATCAAGCCATTGATCACTACCCGTTGAGCCCGACAATCTAGCCAGCTTTCTGTCCCCCTTCTAGTCCATTCATCCAATCCATACTTCCGTATCAAAAGCTTTGCTAAAGTCAAGATATATCACATCCACCACTTTCTCCATATCCACAGAGCCACTTATCTCATCATAGAAGGCAATCAGGTTGGTCAGGCATGACTTGCCCTTGGTGGATCCATGTTGACTGTTCCTGATCACCTTCCTCTCCTCCCAATGCTTCAAAATGGATTCCTTGAGGACATGCTCCATGATTTTACCAGGGACTGAAGTGAGGCTGACTTGTCTGTAGTTCCCCGGGTTCTCTTTCTTCCCTTTTTAAATATGGGCACTATATTTGCCTTTTTCCAATTGTCCGGGACCTCCCCTGATCGCCACGAATTTTCAAAGATAATGGCCAATGGCTCTGCAATCAGATCAGCCAATTCCCTCAGCACCCTTGGATGCATTAGATCTGGACCCATGGACTTGTGCTTGTCCATCTTGCCTGCCAACACAAATTCTACTGCTATCTCTATGCTGATGACTCACAGATCTACCTCTTTATTACAGACCTGTCTTCTTATGTTCAAATTATAATCACAGCTGGTTTCTGTAACAACTCCTTGTGGACATACAGCAATCAGCTTACAATCAAGATGGACAAAACAGAGCTCTTACTCCTTTCTCTATCACTGGACAACACCAGCATTGTTCCGGTGACTCCTCTCTTTACATCCCTCCACTGGCTCCCCCATTCTCTATGGCATCACGCATAAGCTGCTTGTCTTCACTTTCAAGGTCCTTCATGACCTATCCCCACCTATCATTGCTTATGTGCCATTAAGATGTCAACTCCTGCCTCCAATCAGCCAAAGATGCCAGCCTCCAGTGTCCACTGGTTAAATTTTCAAACAAACATTTTTGTTGTTTCTCCCATGCTGCCCCTTATGTGGGAGGAGCTCCCCATAAACATCTGCAAAGCTCCCTCATTCTCCTCCTTCAAATCCCTCCCTTTGCTGTGATGCCTACAAAAATCTTGATAACAATTAGGCTGCAGGAGTGCTGAGACCATGCCCACCATGCTGACTAGTACTATCTCACTGTTTCCTTGTTGTCTTTTGTCTTATTGTAAATTCTGCAAGAAAGGGACTGGTTTTGCTCTGTTTGTATAGCACCTAGCAGAATGGGGTTCTGATCCATGACTGGGGCTCTTAGGTATTAACCAACTACAAAAATAGATAACAACAACATCATCATCTGAGGCTGCCTGCCACTGTGGAAGTAGATACAACTGGAAGGAACTTCAGGGCATTCCCTTGAGGCTGGTGACTGATTGTCCCCACCTAGCTGCAAGCAACCTTAAGTACCTAATCATAATGCATCTGTGAACCTTAACATGATGAAGTAAATCCTATAACCTGCAGAAGATTTAAATCAAAAACAAATTGTACAAAACTGAAAGGCAACAGAAGAAAGTAAAATTGCTATTTCGTACAGAATGATTTAGTGAATCTTGAAAAAAGTTCCTTTGTGCGTGAAATAGAACTTTGATTCCTTTGAAGAAACATGATCAGCATTTCTGGAAAATATAATTTAAATGCTATGAAAAAAACAACCAAGATCTATGGGGGAGGGGGGATATACACTATACCCTTTTTCTGTTCTTTTTCTCCTATTTTCTTTCTCCTCCACTTCTTTTCCTTTATTCTTGCTACATTTATTTAGCTGAATAGGCTGATGAACGTACTGTTTGTATGTAGTATGACAATTCTTTTTCTCTAAAGCTCTGATTCATATACAAGTTTAACTTTAATGCCTATAAATTAAAGGTAACCTGCATTTTCATTTTTATTATTTTTTACTTCAAAATAGTTAAAATACACATAGTACTTTTTCTGCTGAACACGTGTGTGTTGAAAGATACAGTATAAAGTTTTACAGAAAAGTAACTAAAATAAACCCTTATGCATTACCACTTCCCATTTTCATTTTAGATAGATATTACCTATTATAGAATCCTGGAAATTAGCACTTTATTGCTTTCATCTGAAGATGGGGTAGAAAGTAACAATAAACACCCACCAATCTGTTTCTGTTAATTACAAGGAATAATTATTTAAGGTTGTTAGGCAACTTGAATATCTATTTCTTGGTAACTCCAGACTCACCAGGAATCCAAAATAACTGAAAGTAGATGTAAACTCTATCTTGAAAACTAAATCCCTGTAAAAGAAATTTGTCCTACAATATATTGTGCTGTACTGTACTGCTTCCTTAACTCTGCTCTCAGAAATCTGCACAGATTCAACAACTTGTGACATTGATGATTCAGGAACATGAATCAATCTGCTCATTGTCCAAATAACAAAGTGAAGTTATTGTAATTTTCCGAAATGAATGGTGACAATGTGCATAAATCATTTCTGCTTGGAAGGCCTACGCTGGAACACCACATAGAAACACTCCTGTGCAAGTCAAAGGGAAAAAAAGAAAGAAAATAACAGCCTGCCAGCACCACAGATATTCCAGTAAAGCTACCAGATAGCATAGAAGGAGCAACATAGTGATCAACTGAGATAATCCTTCCCCTCCCACCACCAGAACAATATTTCCCCCACCCCCAAATTAATCTTCAAAATACAAAAACAAAACAACAACAACAAAAATCACATTCTCATGATGAGGCAGCCTATTGGCAGCACAACATACTACTGGCCTGACCCAGCCCCCCTTCAAGTCAAGGGAGTTGATTTGAAGAGGAGCAGACAAAAGCAAAGCCTTCCCTCAACCCTTAATCTAGCAAGGGCTGGTAATGGAGCGAATCACATAGTATCAAGTCCTTCAGCCAATCTGGGGAAGGATATAAGTCATGCTATAGGAAAGTAGTAACATTGGTATACTTTTTATTTTCTGAAGGAAGAGGAAGGTTTGACAGTACACAGATGTAATTTATCCTCTATTTAACATCCCAAAATAATCTATACATTAGCTGGGATAAAAATGTAACTAGTGTATATGATTTGAAGCTACTCTTTAATATGTGGATGCAGAGACACGTACCTTGTAAAAATCAGATCCTGAAAATGCATGTGGATGAACAGTTGCTGATTTTCCAAGCTATTTAAATTTTGCACTTAGGCAATGCAGGCCAAGGTTACATCCATAAAACATGCAACAGTACCTTATTCCGAACTAGGAAAGCTATGTATGAAATTTGAAGTATGAAGAAATTATGTTTGTAGAAAACTGATCCAGGACTATCAAGCCTTAGAATCCAAATGAGGATCTAGTCTATTTCTCCCTTCCCCAGCAAACACAACATGCACACACACAAAAAAACCTCTTACCAAAAAGCTCTACCCTAATTCCATATTAGTGTCTGGAGTAAATGATTCAATATAGTTCCTATAAACCTCTCTATATATACATCCATATAGGCTAGCACGTGCAGAGCTGGGAGAAATTTTTTTTTTTTTTTTTTTTCTGAAAAATGCTGATTTGGCTCGACTGAAACAATACAGATGGATTTCGGCTAATTGCTTGGTATAAAGAAAAAAAATTGGAAATGTTGGATCAGTTCATTTAAGCATTTCTGAAACAAAACACTTCAATATTTCATTTCAGAATTTTTCTCCATGTTCTTTTTAAAACCATTGAAAAAAAACCCTCAAAATCAAATGAAGTGTTTTTCAGTTTGGCTAGAGGCAGAGCCAGCATAGAGGCTGAGAGGCAATGAGGGCAGAGCTGGCTGCAGGCGGAGCAGAGCTGCGACCAGTGTGAGGCTGGGTGGCGCTCCCTCCCTACCTCCCCTGGGGGCTGGCCTGGGACCCGCCGCATGCCCCCCTGAACGCTCCTCCGTGCCCCCTTAGGGGGGCACGCCCCTTGGGGACCACTGCACTAGTCATAAAAATAAACAACCCCTACAGATCTCATTGTCCCATTTATTTCATTTAAATAGTAAAACAGCTACATATCTGATGCATATATCTGCATATAATGCATTTTCTCTTTGTTATAAAAATAGCTATTGATCTTTAAATACTTCTTTGTAAGGTGACATAACAGTGTTGCTCAGGAAAAAAAAATGCTAAATTTACCTTCTTCCGTAGGGTTGAACCCACAGATGTCGCAAATACAGCGAACCCACTTATTCATCTCCTCCTCGCTATCTGCCACCAAGTAGAAAACTCTGTCGATAGTGTTGATATCAAAAATATAACTGTTTTCGAACTCTTTTTTGTTAAATGTCAATCCCGCATCCACTTGTTGACACAAGTTTAAGTCAATAATACGAATAGGTTTTTTGGTATGGTCATTTTTGTAGTACTCCAACACATCCGGATCTCCTGTTAGACGGCCACTGCGAAGCACAAACCACCTCCTCTTCCATGCCTAAGAAGTAAGGGGAAAAAGGGAAACATTAATATAAGAGTGATGTTATTTTAAAGAAAAAAAAAAAGGAAAAAAAGGTTGAATACAATGCAATAAATATTTCAAATTGTTTCCAAAAAACCTAAACGGAGGAGAATCAGGTTGCAAACTGGTGGCAGTGACCTTTTTAAAAAAAATATTTCCTTTTATATTTAAGACTTTGCTCAAGAGAATAAGTTTCAAAAATAAGATGATATTTGCCAAATGGGAAAGGATGAATCCAATTAAGGAAAAGAAAGAAAAAAAAAAAAAAAAAAACTTCCAAAGAAAATTTAAACAGCCCCAAGGAAGGAAAAGAAACAACCTATATTTTTAGGTACTTAAGAGTGTCCTCTTAATTTCATGCTGTTTTATCTTCAATAGTTACTTGCTTTCATAGCACACATAATGCTCATTCATACATGCACGTTTCTCTGAATCTTGTGAATAAAGTAGGTTAATCAAATGGTAGTATTTTAAGATAGCTACTCTTGTAGAAAGAGAGCTACTTTATTAGCTGGCAACACTTTACAGCACTGTAAGTTATTGGATTTTCTCCTTTAAACTTAAAAAACCCATTTAATTATGTTCATGAATATATATATTTGCTGAGTCCAGGCTCTTTGACTCCTACACCAACCCCAACTACTTTATCAGTGCCTTAGGGCTACGGACATTCAGTTTAATTTAGAACAGTGTTTCCCAAATGGTGGGTCCTGATCCACCAGTGGGTTGCGGGAAGAGTGTAGGTGGGTTGATTGTCACTGCTCCCCCATGTCACTCTCCACGAGCCCCAGAAGCACTCCTCCTATCAGGGCCACAGGGGAAGTGGGGGAAAGGGGTTGTTTGCCCCAGGCCACACATTTGAGAGGTCCACCAACCAAGTGACATTGCAACTTGCACATGAAGTCACGGCACTGCCCAGGTTTGCCTGGCTACCCCTCCATCATGATAGGAAGTAGGCTGGTCCAAACCTAAGTAGTGCTGCAACCCCATCCACCAGGTCACAATGCCCAGAGCAGGGAGCCAGGCCCATCCTTGCAGGACAGAAGCTGCTGCAGCAGGGTGAGTGCGGGGCAGGCCCACTCTTGAACACCCCCACCACTGAGGTCTCTCCAGCCAGCTGGGGCTGCAGATGCGAGCAGGACTGGGAGAGTGAGAGCAAGGGGACTAGGCGGAGCTGAGCAACAGGCTTGGGAGCTGGGCCAGGGATGCTCTCCTCATCTTGATGCAGGTGAAAACTTGGACTGTGAGGCCCCCTTGCTGGGAGGGGGATCTGTACTGTTTGGGGTCTGTTTCAATTAGGCTCCACAGACACAAGGATTTTTGAGAGGCCAGTTCTCTCCCAGGACAGAGACTCGTCACTGGAGGGCTGTTTTGTGTTTTCCTTTGCTGTAGCATGTCTTCCACTCTCACTTAAAGGCGTGACCTCCTCAAATTACAGGGGTGTAGCAGGAGCCCTGTCAGAGCTCTCTATCTACAAGAGGGGACAGGGCTGGGAGAGGAGAGGTGCTAGCAGTGCAGAAAGCACGGGAGTTTATGTTTTTCTTTCATGTTTGAATTTTTAAAAAGTTAAAAAATAGTGAACAGTAGTTTATATTTTACACACACAAAATTATCATCATGCAATGGCGTCTCCCCAAAAAGACAAAAAGCAGTTGGTGGGTCACCTTAGTAAAAAGTTTGGGAACCACAGATTTAGAGCAGCCCTCAGAACATGCTAATTCATGCCGGGGAACCACACTTTGCACACAGTTGGTTCAGGACTGCAGAATGCCTAAGTTACCTTTGCACTCTCCTCCTAACCCCCATTCAGCTCCTTAGCTGTAACTAGGGATATGGGTCACTATATCTTAGGGAGAGGAAGCCTCCACAAATATGATCTAGTCCTGCTTTAATTAAGGTGCTCAGATATCGGGGCAACAGATATAGCATAAGAACCTAGACAGATGGTCTTCTTTTAGGAGTAAGAACTCATTGCCTTTACACTGAGTTAAGGTTGCAGGATCAGGCCCACAGCCATGGAAGGAATAAACTCTTTATCTCTACCGCTTTTTTTCCTACTTATAAGTCAAAGTGTGAGCTCAAAGAAAGTGAATGGGATGGCTCTAGCAAACTCTCCTCCATACCAAAAACTCTCTTCCCCTTGCCAAAATGATTTGTTTTAAAGTTTGCATTTAGGTTGTTTAAACAAGTATAAAAATCCATCACATAAAAAAATCCATTCATATTTTCTACAGAGTACACAGTGACAGGAAGACAGACTACCACACTAACAAGAGGTGAAAAGGAAGTGTTGAGACTTGTAGTGTCCTTTACATATCCATATGCATCTGTCAACCTCTGGGATCAAAACTTTCTCAGACTGGACTTATGGAACCAGCTGTGGAGCAGAAAACAACTCATGCTGGTTCCTGAGAAGTGTAAATGTAACCTATTACCTCAAACTAAGTGGGGGGGAAGATACTGGGGCCTGGGAATCAAAACTGTGCTGCCATCTTATAGCTCTGGCTCAGAACCAGCATAGTCAGCTTTTCAGTGGGTGCTCACAAACAACTCATTGTCAAGCGTGGATGCCTTTTTTGGTATCAAGCTGAAGCTACTATGGAAAGATAATACAGAAATTAGGGAAGGGGGAAAATGCCAGACATTTAAACTGGAATTTGTGGCATATTCAGTAGCCACCATGTACTAAAATCATCTGAGTTTGAAAGAAGACTTTTATACTCGCAATTCTATACAAATAATCATACTTTTTGTGCTCATTATCATATATATTCCGCCTTAAAATGCAGAATTATACAATTCAAGTCAGTTCTCAAGTCACCTTTCTCACTATGTTAGCAAGTTAGTGAGCGGGATAACTAACTTGCTAACGTAGTGAGAACAACAAAGTACAAGAATTAAAACTGACAGAAAAAAACAAATGAAACACCTTAAGTAGATGCTATGTATTAAAATGTGTAAAATTCCAGAATTGATATGCAATGTGCTATACTGCTCTGAAAATATGACAAATTTTATGCTGCTTTCTGCATCTCTATCAAGCCAGAAAAACAACAGCTTAGATACTAGCGTAACAGGAGCCTTAGATATTTTCCATACAGAAAGCCTCCAAGGTTGATAATTAATTGATAATTAGTTCTGAAAAACATACTGCAAGCTGCAACTATTTCAGAAACTGGAATTATCCTCTATGTCTTTGCTTTTTAAAAATCTCATCTGAAGAAATAATCTCTAAAAACCCCAACATACTTGCCTAAAGATTTATGCAACACAAATCGTTTGGTACAAATGAAATTTGCCTAGCTTGGGAGTTTCTGTCTAGTTCTGTGTTAAGGGGTAAAACTTGTTCATATTATCACTAATAAAGGCCCTATTCAACATTAAAGAGTGAAATATGACTTTTACTCCAATTTCATAAATTAATCTAAACAGAACTTGTTTTCAGCCTTAATGCTACAAAATACCAACTATTAAGTACTTAAAACACGGAGTTTAGCCTACCACCTGCTACTATTTTTTTTGAAAAATTTTTGCATAGTGAATATGTGAATGTTTATTTCAGTCACATAATGAGTCACTCACTGAAACTGGCACAGATTAAACTCAAAAACAAAAGCAATTCCATAAACTACACATTAATAAGGCAGATACAAAGGTTCTCTGGGTTACAGTACAAAGCACAATTTAGCAGCAGAATAAAGCCTGAAGCTAGACAAGAGAACTGACATCAGAACCCTTGCTAATCATAGTACAAAAGCTTCTCTATGTTTTGTGAAAGTGCAAAATGAGCCCACATAAATCACTCTTTGTTATCTGAAAATATCTAGGATTCTTAAAGCTTGTTCTATTTTTAACATTTCAGTCTTTGTCGCCCTAGTGAAAGCTGTATACTGCCTCACTGAGCCAACAAGAATACTGACTAACAACTAATGAAGAGAGCTTCTTCAATAACTGCTTTCCCAAACTAAGTCTCTGAAAGGGGCTGTGGGGAGGTGAGAGCGAGAGAGAGAATAACTGTTTATATAAATGTATCCTTCTTTATTATTTTTTTCCCTTTGGGTATTTTTGTTTGAAGAATGTTTATCGTATTTTACAGCTGTACAATCTGTAACATGCATTGTATCCTACAAAACTACTACAAATATAAAATTGGGTTATGCCACAATGAAATTACAGAAAAAACCCAAGCTTTGTCTCTTCAATTATTTAATCAACAATACACTCTAAACAATGTGACTTTGCTTGCATTGATAAAAGTGATTCAGATGCAGCTGAACTTCTATTGGAAAACAGTTGAGAAAAATAAGCAACCCTACAGTGTGATTTGTTTTAAAACTCACTTTTCCAAATCCTAACCAATACTGGTATGAGACAGACGTTAGATATTTTAGGGGGGAAATGATATTCCTTCCCTAGGATTATCTAATTTATTTTTAATGCAAAATATGTTTATTTACATTGCATGTCTGGTTCCAACACACTGCCTGCAGATTAGGTATTTATCAAGTATAGTTTTTTTTTTTTAAGTATTAAAATCATAGGAAGTACATCAAATAACAGGGTGATATAATTCAGCAGTCTTTCTAAACTTTTAAATATAATTACAACAAAACAAAATTATGGAGATAAAGTAGGTTTTTAAAAGTAGTCTAAGATGTGATAAGTTGCCATGTAGCTACTAAAGACCTGGGCACACTCAGAGAGTTATAACCAAAGAATACTAAAGTTGAGTATTTTTTTTTAACACAATGGAGGAAGAGAAGAAAACACTTTTTTATTTTATCTGTTGCACATTTTATGTAAAGTGAGTACTGCTGGTTTAAAAGCAAGCAATTCAGCCATGCCACAGTATCAGGAAAATTGGAAGACAGCATCACTTAGGGCTTCTCTACACTTACAAGGCTGCAGTGGCACAGCTGCATTGCTGTAGCGCTTCAGTGACAACGCTGCCTACCTATGCCGATGGGCGGGATTCT